TGTGTGTGTGTGTGTTTGCATGTGTGTGAGCGAGAGAGTGTATGTGTATGTGCATGTGTGTGTGTGTGTGTGTGTGTGTGTGTGTGTGAGTGTGAATGTGTGTGTGTGTGCATGTGGCATGTGTACTGTGTGTGTGTGAGGGACAGATATATAATACTATTTCATATTGTGTTTACGTAGCATAGCTTCGAGATGTAGGGTAAATAATATGGCGCTTCTGATGAGCGTGAAGACTGACACATTGAAATAATAATGATGGCCTGTTCTTGTTCTCCCCAGAGCATCATGTCTATAAATGACGTGTACCTACCAAACCCTCTGCCTGTTCTGCTGATGGCGCCCATAAATATGACGTCACCGATGCTCAATTCGACAATGACGCCAATGGTAGCAGACGACAACAGAACGTTGAACATCACGGAAGACTATGTCTACATGAACCAGAACTTTCACAACGTAGCCATTATAGCAGCAAGGTAGGGGGCTAAACTGGCTTACTTCCCGTACTTTAATCCTAACTGTCGCCCTGGGGTAAATTTGTACCCCCGGGGTTGATTCTTCATATTTTAGAATACTTCTAGATCGAAGATCTCTTTGAAACTCAGTATTTCTTTTCAAAAGATCAATTTGACAGACTGCTATACAAAGCGTACGGGTCGGGTTGACGTGTAAATTTCCTCTTTGGAAAGTGGTTGCACAGAGTTCCCCACGTCGCATGGATACGATGGTAAACCACGGCGTACAGATAGGGTTAACCTGTCGCTGATACCCGGAGGTTTGTTGGGGCAGTAGAGGAGGGGGGTCATGGCTAACTGAACGGCTCCTGGAGCCAGAAATTGCTAACAGAACGGCTCCTGGAGCCAGAAATTGCTAACTGAACGGCTCCTGGAGCCAGAAATTGCTAACTGAACGGCTCCTGGAGCCAGAAATTGCGAGCTTCTAAGGCGCATCTTACCCAAAAGTTACTATATTTTTGTTACGTTGTTCTTTTTTGTTTTGGTTTGATTCGTTATGAGTTGTTCTAGTTTTCTTTTCTTTTTGTTTTGTTTGGTTTGTTTTTTATTTTGTTTTGCTTTGCTCTGCTCTGCTCTGCTTTGCTCTGCTCTGCTCTGCTCTGCTCTGCTTTGCTCTGCTTTGACCTGTTTTGTTTGGTTTAAGAAACAGGGAGAAAATCATGCCAGTACTCTTCATTTGGAGAAACGTACAGCTGTATCTGAGGTGACTTAGTAATTAGACGTCACCTTCCATTTCCGAACATGGTGTCCAGCAACTGTTTTACCTTGGGTAACACGATACATAAATGTCCGACGTCGAGTGTGAACGTGCGAACCCAAGGATTCAAGCAGACTGAGAGAGACCGAGAGAGAGAGAGAGTGTTTTCTATTTTTATTTTCCTTTTTGTTTATTTGCTGTTATTGGTGGTGGTGTTTTTGATTGTTGGTGTATTTATTTTTTGTTGGTTTGTTGTTGTTGTTTATGTTGGGTTGTTTTGTGTTTGTTTGTTTTTTTTTGGGGGGGGAGGGGGGGGTGGTTGGGGGATGACGATTTGTCCAGATTTTTGTCGTGGGGAAGGGGGTTGGGGGTTTTTTCCCACCCATTACGCTCAGTTTTATCTTAGATGGACGCTTTATAAAGAAGTTCTGCCTCTCAACCCTATCCGTACGCTCTGTGGTCCCTTTGTACCCCCGTTGTAGTATTCTTCACTTTAAAAAATACTTCTAGATCTAGTACGAAGATTTCTTTGAATTTTCAGTAGTTCTCAAAAAATGATTTTGACAGACTGCTACGCAAAACGTACTGGTCGGATTAACGAGTTTAATTTCCTCTTTGGAAAGTGGTGGCACAGAATTCCCATGTGTAGTATGGATACGATAGTAAACAACGACGTACGGATAGTTCACTGATTCCACAAGGCGTTGAACCTAAACAAAGGCCAATGACCGTATTACTCTGTCTCTCTCTCTCTTGTCGCTACATGTGTGTGCTATTTAAACGAAAGTTTCTCTGCCACCCTCGTTAGCGAAGATTCAAATTTGTTTTTTTTAATTCTTCCGTTAGGTGAAAGTCGTGAGTTGTATTTTAGTCTTATTGTCTGGGACATTTTGCTCTGTTTGGCAGACAGAGTGTAATGCACTATTGACTTGAGGCTTTAATGGGGGTTTTTTTTCCATTTTGGATCCATCTGTATAAATCTTATTATCACATCGTAGACACGTTTGAAAATAATGTCTTGATGTCGCTTAAAGTATTAATTCGTCTTTCCAGAGAGAGAGAGAGAGAGAGAGAGAGAGAGAGAGAGAGAGAGAGAGAGAGA